ATCGTGGCCGCAATTAGACGGGTCGTTGGCCACGAGGGGTGGCGGCGGCGGAGGCGGCGAGCGGTAACTTCCCCCCTCACCACCGCGAACAAAAAGAACTCCCCAACGAGACGGGGGAGCGAGACCCAACGCGGATCTAATGGAAGGTGACGTTTCGAAGGGGGGATGGTGGGGGTGCTCTGCCATTGGACGATTGATTTAAATATGGACGCGGAAAATGGGGTGGAATATCGCGTAAAAACCAGGTTTGTTAAGGGAAAACATTCCAAACGGACTGCGATAATAATAGTAACAAAAATAATAATAATAATGGCATCACTAGCGAAAACCTTCCCAAAAGCACTACATGCGCCACAACATCTTACGGAAGGAAATACTTACCTGCTACACAAAAAAGGCGACGCAACACAACCTGAAATTTACAGACCAGTCGCCTGTCTCGCAGTTATAATAATAATAAATTGACTTTATTGTTGTATATTGTTAGATACAAACATACAGTAGAGAAGAGGCGAAGTCTAGCAAGAGCTACTCCACTTAACCTCTTAAATGTTTAAATTGAAAACTAAATGGGAAGTTATACTTACATCGACAAATTACGTACAGTATAATAGATAAATGCAATAGTAATAGAAAGTTATGAAAAATAAAAATAAAAAGAATAACATTGAAAACCAAGGAGGAAGCTCCTCTCTACCAAGATCATATCACCAATACCTGCAAAGCAGGGGACTATTCTGTCTAGCTATCAAGAGAAAAGTAACCCTTAACCCGGAAACAAAGAACAACCCCAAAGCTAATAGCGGCCAAGTTGACAAAGGACGTCCGAATGATATTTGGACTAGGAAAGTGTGCTTTTATGCATGCGGAGAGAGGTGAGATGCTAGAATCCAATTTCATCAGATTAATACCCTCGGTGTAAAGCAGGCGCTAACCGCTGAGTGTTGAAACAAGTGGTAGAGAAGAATCTTAATGAAAAGGATTGGAAAAGTGAACTGAGGTAGTTTTTACTTTTACTAAAAGTTCAGATTATCACGAAATTATATATTTTCATATGACAATTGTTCCGACAACACCGTCTCTTTATCAAATGAAAAATGACAATAAAACGTTAATTAATGGTGTTGTGACAATTTAAGTTTAATAATGGAGAGGTATTTAAATCTAATTGACCGTTAAGCAATACATTTGAATGTCTCATCTTGTTAATCCCCATCGCTTCCAATAAATTTCATTTTCTACTTTTTGTGGCTGTATGTAAAATATTAAAAATGTGTTTTTCTCTGTTTAAGTGTGTAGCATAATTAGAATCTAGACTATTGTTTTAAAACGCTCTTTTATGTTCGTTAATGCGTTTCTTGAAGGACCTGCCTGTTTGTCCAATATAAATTTTAGGACAAGATCCGCATTTCGACCTGTAAACACCTGATTTTTGAGATTTTGGACATTGCATTATCAAACCTTCCTTAAAGATGTAAATCTGTCCATTAAATTCAAAATAATTTTGGACTAAAGATACTATTAAGCAATTTAATAAATCTTGTTTCACCAATGGGTTAACCTGTTTCCGAGTTAGGGTGAAATCTACTAAATCTATCACATCGATAGGTGGAATACTGGGAAATAAGTTTTGTACATCAAAAGACAATAGTGTTGCGTTAGAAGGGATTTTAATATCTTTAATTTTGTTAATTAATTCAAAAGAATTTTTTTTAACTCTCAATTAATAGATATTTAATAGATAACAACAAACACAAAGAAATTTCTCAAGTGTAGTAAAAACTATCAAAAACAAAGCTTGTGAAAATAACATAATATTTCCCGTTGCAGATAAAGGGAAGGCAGTCATAGCTATCGATCTCCCAGAATATATATCAAAAACCAACAATTTTCTTAAGCCTGAACTTTTCCAATGTATCAAACACGATCCTACCCAGTTATATCAAAGACAACTCAAGGAAGTAATTACTAACTCTACACTGTTTAGTGACAAAGACAAATATTTTTTAACAATTATGAATCCACAACCGTCGAAATTATATTCTTTAGTTAAATTAAGTTAACAAGATATTTGCCCATTAGACCAGTCGTGTCTTGTGTAACCGCTCCGGCAGTTAAACTCTCAACAAAATTAGCAAATATTTTAAAGTTCCACATATATTTTAAACCAAAATTTGCAAAAAAAAATCTTTTGAATTAATCAACGAAATTAAAGATATCAAAATTCCTTCTAAGGTAACACTATTATCTTTTGATGTACAAAACTTATTTCCCAGTATTGCACATATGAATGTGTCAGATTTAGTAGATTTCACCCTCACTTGGGAACAGGTCAACCCATTGGTGAAACAAGATTTATTAGATTGCTTAATAGTATCTTTACACCAAAATTATGTTGAATTTAATGGACAGATTTACATCTCTAAGGAAGGTTTGATTATGGGAATCCCACTTAGTCCATTGTTAGATTTTTAGGGATAATTTGGGAAATATCATAGTAGAACATCCTTTAAGTAAAAGTTTTCTATGGTGGCATAGATACGTGGATGATGTCTTTACTTGATTTGTTGGAATTGACAGCAGGACACGACCAGGAATTCTTTTTTAAATTACATTAACTCATAACATAATCTTATAAAATTCGCTATCGAGAATGAACAGGATCACTCTATTAATTTTTTATACTTAACTATAACGAAAACGCAAAACAAATTAAGGTAAGCAAGGTCATATTATACATTTAGCGGCTTTTTAAAAGGGTGTTTAAAATTAAATCCCTTAAAGGCGATTTAACATTGCAAGTCAACCATATATCTTACGTATATTTTTAATTTTGTAAAAACGCAAACCCTTAAGTATTTCAAATTAAAGATAAATGGACTTAAGTCACTTTCAAAAAGAACGGCTCATATATAATATAATTATTAATTATTAATTAATAAAATGTTTTGTATTTGTTTTCAGATTTTCTTTGGCATTTGCAATATATTTTTGTAGTCAGTTATTTTACTTGTCTTACTGTCAAATAGAAAACTCACTCCTGTTTATAGTTTTAGTTGGTACAAATTCATTTATAAGATAAAATACATTCTGCTCAATTCGATCCGATTCCAATACACTCTAAGTTGTAGTTTGCTTGCGAGGAAGTTTTCTTAGAATAGGAATTACATTACATACAATTGAAATGTATATTTTAAGAGAAATCAGTGGCGTACCATCAATGTCTGCCAAAATTGCATTAAAATATCTAAGGTGGTATTACGGATATTAAAAAATATATATAATTTTGAAAACTTTTCGGCCCTGTATCTCAAAAATTTAGGACATATGAAGTTTTTTTTTATTTTTATTTTGTTTTTTTTGGTATATACCGTAAAATTTTGCCCAGAATCGCCTCCCGACGTTTTTTAAGGAAAGCGCGGCGAGCTGGCAACGTCGCGCCTCGTCATGGGAAACACTGACGTCTTAATCAGCCCCGCGAACCGGAAAATAGCCCGAATTGACTTTTAACGCGGCGAATCGGCACGCGTTCGGTCTCCCTCGCGCGCCGCCAATGGACCGTGATTAATGGCATATAAATTGGGACATTTGGACGTTATTTTCCGGGGTCCGGTGGATAATTAGTGGGGACCGGCCGTTAAACACTTCCCAACTGTTGCCAATTATTCCTCCGAACGGGTTTCTGGAAAGACATTATCTCGCGCTTGGGGGGTCGAGATGGTACACTCCCTGCCAATTATCTCTATACACGGTTAAAATGGGTGAAACGCAAAAATATACAAAAATCGAACAAAGAATTTGTGGAATACGGTGCTGGAAAACACTTGACATGTTGACAACGGCATATGGAAAGCAAAAAACATGTTTATAAGTGGTACAAGCTGTTCCAAAATGGCCGAGAAGACGGCGATGATGAACATCGTTCGTCAATAATAACGTAATAATAATATAAAAAAGGGAATAAAGTTCCCACTTTCATGGGTCACCCGGTATACCCAGAGCTGCCTTTTATAGAATAAAATATTTGTGGGTCTTCGTATTAAACGTAATTTTCTTCTGAAGATCAAAAACCAAGCACTCACATTCGTGATCGCGTTTAGCTGTTTCAAAATCTTCTTTGCACAATGTTGCTATTTATAAAACTCCTGGGTTTCTCCTGCGCCGGTTTTTGTTGTGACGTTTCGCCCTTCATCCTGTTTTCACTTTCAGAACTTTGCCGTTTCAGTCAAACTGTCATCCCACTTGTATAATCTAATGTGTCAACCAAGTGGGTTTAAAAGTTGCATGCTAAAATGAAGATTATGTATTTTATATGTATTTATTTGACCGGCCGTTCGTGGTAATCATTAATTTCGATAATTAACGCGGACGTTAAACCAAGCTTAACGTCGTAGCGGCCAAATTTCCGACTGCCTATTTACGAATCATAACGTACAGGGTCGAGGGGTCTTTTGTCGCCACGGGAGGCGCCACATATTGGCCCGAGACGTCCGATATATATACATTAAATTAAGGTCCGACGGGCTTATGCACGCACACACAAATAAATCACTTTACATGCTTATTAGGCGGTTGGGGGGGGGGATAGGGGGGTTGGTTATTGTGCGGCGAGCCGACTTAATTTCGACTTCGACACGTGCCTTAATTCCCACTTAATTGAATGGCGGCCGTTCACGTAGGTTATTTATTTTGATTAATCGGGTTACCGTGATGTCGCGGTGACTGATAGACCGCCGATATTAAATTTCGAACCCGGTGGGCGTTTTAAAACCGACCTAAAAGCGCGGAAATGTTGGACAGATTGAAACGTAGAGGGTATGGTCTGTTCATAGTCACTTTCTTATATCTATGAACACACCATACTGCTTAATAGTTGATGTCGATAGTGTCGAATCGATCTGTTCGTTAACTTGTTTCGGTGCGGAGCCATTCAAATTGATAACACGAAATTTTTTTCGGTTTTTACGCGGATAATGTATCCCCGGACTTCTCTGTTCCAGGTGTGGTTCAAGAACCGCCGCGCAAAATGGCGGAAGCGGGAGCGCAACGCGATGAACGCGATGAACGCGGCCGCCGAGTTCAAGACCGGTTTCGGGTCGCAGTTCAGCGGTCTGATGCCGATCAACGATGACAGCTTCTACTCCTATTCGACCTACAACAACTGGGCGACCAAGGTGCCGAGTCCGCTCGGTACCAAACCGTTCTGGCCGGTGGTACCGTCCAACCACCACCAGAGTCCCGTGAACTGTTTCAACACGACGTCGGTGGCGGCGGCCGCGTCCATGGGCGGCGCCGCGGGGTCAATGTTGCCAGGCGCCATGGGCGGAGGATTGACCAGTACCCCGGGCACCGTGTCGGCCCAGCCCTGCCCTTATACGACCCCGACCAATCCGTATTCCATGTACCACCATAGAACGGCGGCGGAGCCTTGCACCGCCGTCTCCTCCAGCCTCGCCTCTTTGAGGTTGAGGGCGAAGCAGCACACCAACTTCGTGGGCTACTCGAGTGTCAGTCCTGTGAGATCCTCGTCGGCGGGACTGCAGGCCTGCCAGTACGCGGGCAGCGGCATAGGAGTGGGGGAGAGGCCCGGCTGAGACGAGGACGAGGCCCTGGGGCCGCAGCTCAAGCACGAGGACGAGGACGATTGACGGCGGCAGGCGTCGGGACGCCGTTTCCTGGTCTAAGAACTGTTTTTTCTTTTTTATAAATTCGTCGTTAGTTTTGTTTTAAGCGTGCAATTTCCAAGACGGGAAAAATCGCGGGCGTCGTTTACGGCGTAAACGAGATCGTTTCGTGGTTTTTGAAGTTCGAGTTTGATGTTTCGCCGCAGCTTATCGAACAAGGGGTCGTAGACGGGGATCTACTTTATTGGTATATGTTGATATTTCAAAGATAAGTGATTGCAGGTTAATCAAAAAGCAACAAAATACCTAAACATATTTTTTTTTTCAAATAAAAACGCGTAATATTTTTAATTTTAACTTTGTCTACGCTTATGGCACGCAAGAAAATTACCTCATGTCTAGCCTAAGTCTTCCAAAAAAGAACCTAATAGGAAATAAAGGAAATTATGAAGACGGTCATTTATTTGGAAAGGTCTCAAAATATGCATTTTTTTTTTGTCTAGTTACGCTTCAGAAAATGTCAAAATCTTCGTTTTACTTTATTATATCTTTTGTCACGTCCTTAGAAATCAAGCTGATTTGAATGTATACTTTTTACAAGAACTGCTGGATTCCTCCTGCGTCGGTTTTTGCTGGGTCGAAATTGCTGACGTTGCGCCAATCATCCTGTTGGCTTCTTCAGAGCTTGACTGAATACTGTTTTCAATTTTCAAATAATGTTTCATATTTTTTCTACTTACTACTTAATGGGAACCTGATATCAGTATTCGACCCAAACCCAGATTTTGCTTGCAAATTTTGCGCTGGCAGCTTTTATGCAACATGGAAAAAGCTTTCTAATTTAGTTGTAATGTAATACTCAATATCGCTGATGATTTCTTAAAAACTCAATATCAAACCAGATTTTCGTAGTCATCGTCAGTTGCTAACACAATAGTCGAGTAACTCAGACGTAATTGGTTCGGTGACGTCTAGAAAAGTGATGTTGCCTTCCCGTCACCATTTTTTCATCTATCTTTAATATATCAGTAAAACACGAACCCCTCTTGTAACTAAATTTGACATAAACGTCTCGATATTGTTGTGTTCCGTTTAACATAGGAAGCAACAAACGAAACCGCCGGTCATTTTGTTATCGCTAAGCTGCGGGTTCGGGTGTCGTAGGATCGCCATCTTAACCGCAAAAGCGCGGGCAGTACAAAAACCAACCAAATATTAGCGAAGATCTAACGGTGCCAGACAAATATTTTATACCTTTCTTTATTTAATTTCATTCCGCGTCAATTCGGTAGCGTAGTGCCATTTAGGTTGTTGTTTTCGCTGGCAGAGGCCGCCACGTGCAATTTCGTTTCACGTAATTGTAAGATATAGAGGTTAGGTTGTATAGTTGTACACAAGATATGTAAGTAAACCGTCGTACCTATTCGATTAAAAAAAAAATTACCCTGTGCATATCGTCTTTACCATTAATATTAACTGTCTTCGGTCATCTAGTCACAATAAAGAAGAAAATCAATCGAAAATCACGTTTTTCATTTGAACGAGCCCCGGTATTGTTTCCCTTTACGTCCATAATCTCGTCGGAGCTTCTCATCCACATCTATAAATCTTTCGAGGTCTTGGGTTTATCTCTTCGACCGTGGCCTCGAAAGAAGAAGAGATGGTCCATAAGTTACTAATTTAAGATACGAAAACAATTAAGTAGTTGAAAAAATGTATTGTATTGTATTGTTATTAAAAGCAAAAATCTATCTGTCTGCACACCAAATTCTGATACATTTATTTATTTTTATTATTTTTCATTTTTTATAAATATCGTTACATTACTTATAAAAAAAAACAAATATTTCCATCGAAATATACGAGGGCAGCGCCAAAATTTCCCGGTCTGATTATGAAAGTAACAATTTTTGGTTATTTTTCAATATAATCCTCCTTAAAAAAATATTCTTTTGGTTTGTTTGCAAAATGAGCCGTTGGTACAGAAACGATCACCGTCAAAAAAAAAAATTTTTTTGTCTGTCCGTTCTCCGTTCTCGTCTTTTGGTTTTTCCTGAATAACTTTCGAACCGTTGGAGCTACAAAACTGAAATTTGCCTCCTTGTTAGTCCTACACGAACCATATAAGCTTGTATGAAATGGCCCTGATCCGACGCCGGTATTCGTAATTTTTTCGCGATTTTCGACTGTTTTTTGGACCTGCTATGAAACACGATAAGTGTCCTAAATTTGAAGCAATCGACTTAATATTTAGCAGATATATGCAGCTTTGCCCCGTGACAGAACCTATTGAAAATGGGGGGGCCGGGGGTTCGGGCAGTATTCCAAAAAAATTAAAAGTTTCGCGCGTAAGGGTCTACAAAAAACATCATTTTTCAAACACTATTTACGAGACCAAAAAAATTCTTGAACCACAAGAAGCAGAAGATATCTCTATAAACTTTTATTCATGACAATTTTTCGTGAACATACCGGGTGCGCCGCAAATTCAAAAAAACTGAAAAATGGGTCCAACTATTATTGAAAATTGGCAATAATTTAAAATCTGTGTTTTAGATGTGAGTTTCTTTTACATGACGATATAGCCAATATAGACAGCTTAAACTTTTGTATTTACGGTTTTTAAGTATTGTAGAGGGTGTTCGCGATATTCCGTGCAATATTAAAAAACATAATAAGTACTCCAAATTTGCAGCTACCGACTTCAGACTTGGTAGAGAAGTAGAAGCCTATACCCTCGTTTCGTAAATCAAAATTCGTACAGACAATAGCTAACAGAGTTACAGGGCGTATCAAGAGGTGCAATTACACATACACGTACACGTACGCTGTAAAAAAAATTTCGATAATTATAAATGCATAAATGGTGCAGTTAAGCGAGCAATAAGAAAATAAAATACTTCTTTGGTAAATTGCTATATATCAAAACCTATTACCCAAGGAAGCTTATTATCCAAGGGCCAAGCACTGGAATAGCGACATGGATTTTTACAGAGCCTGGAGCGAAATCTATGAAAACCGTTTTATTTTACAATAAACAAATCACCATAAGTCTGTTGTTGTTCAGACTCCATGAAAAAGTCTCACGTCTCAATCCCTCTAAGGGTCCCTGTTCCCGAAACCCCAAAAAAAAACCTCGTCGTCTTATCTTTTTACGCATATGCAGCAACTTAAGGGTGTCTTAAAACGCCGTTCGCCGTTGTTGCATTTATTTAGCAAAAAGAATATTTTTCGAGTTTTGTCCGTATTCAATTTCAAATAATTATTTTTAAACCAATTGCTCGCATTGCTCTCCAGTTCCCTAGGTGCAGGTCGTTCCGATTCGGACCATATAAGGTAAAACTGACCCCAAAAAACGGCATAGATCAGCAACATACACTATAAAAATTACAGGGTCGAGTACGGACCCTTGGGGGACCCCACTGGAGACGTTCACCAAACTGTTCCCTATCTAGTAAATAAGATTTTGTTAGCTTAAGAGTTCCGCCGCGAAATCCATACCTAAACAGCTAAACACCTTGTTAAGGTCACACATTGTCAACCCCACCCGATTTCCGGTCTCAAGGCCCACCACCACATCCCGGATTGGAGCTTTATACAATCACAATCACAAAAAATGCATGATGAAAACGTATCATTCCCATAAACATTGAAGAGTAGCGGGCCCGGGTGCGATCCTTGCGGAACACCAGAAGGCACTCTTTCGGTAAGGTACGATGTTAACCATCCCAATAGTTTTCCAATATTTCGCAATTTTTTGATTAAGATTTGATGATTTCCTCCATCAAACGCCTTTGAAAAGTCTGTAAGTGGGGTGAAAGTGGGACCCCTCTCCCAATGATTCCAGCAGGAAATCTGTAAATGTAATTAAGTTTAGCTCAGTGGAGCGATAGGGGGAGAAAGCAACCCTTATTATTTATTTATATTATTATTATTATATATATTAAAAATTAGCGGAAAACGGGCTGAAACGAAACGACTACGTTATTCAAAGGGCAAGGGCGTAAAAGACGTATTTACGACCGCAATTTTCCTATTTTTATATCCCGTTTCGTTTCCGTTTTACGCGCCCTATATCCCCTCCCCCCTTCACGCTCACGTGTATTATATATATATATATATATATATATATATATATATATATATATATATATATATACGTACGTCACTTCCAGTATTTTACAATCTAATCATGGGGAACGCACTGCAGTAATCCGGGGTTATTCTTCCGGGCGCGCATTTTGCAGTCGCCCTGCGGAGCGGTGGCGGCGAATCGCCGGCCCCGCGAGCGCGAACGCGAAGGGCGAGCCTGGAGGGTCTCGAAACGTCGGGGTGTAAAATAAACTAACGTCGCTTCCCCCCCCTCCCGGCGTCGTACATACGTTTCGTTTTGTTTTTTTTTTTTCGCGACACCCGCCTCCGGACGCGCCGTTTTTTCTTTTGCGTAAAATTTTGTAGCACCGATGAACATCGCTGTTTCTACAAAAACCAAAAGCGAATCACATTAAAAAGAAGACATCTGCTCCAGTGGCTGAGCTCGGGCGAAAGTCTACGCAAGAAACCTATCTTTTTCCAATTTTTTTACAAATATAATCTACATGTTGTGGGAAATATAACTAAGAATCTAGAACTACTCCCAAGTACTTCATTTGTGAAACATTTCCTATTAACCTACTATCAATCGAAAAATACATTACAATTTTGTTTACTAACAAATACCATATATGCTGTTTTATTGGGTTGTTCGGAAAGTCATTTCGTTTTTTTTGGGGAACATGAAAGACAGTTTTCGTATAATGAATAAATATTTTATTAAATTATATATTGGCCATTCTGGTCCAACACCTTTTGCCATCTTTCTGGCAGTAACATAATTCCCCTCTCATAAAAGTTTTGGTCCTTGCTGGCAAAAAACTGGTTCAGGTGGTTTTTGACATCTTCATTTGAGTTAAAGGTTTTGCCATCCAAAAAATTTTGCAGGGACCGGAACAAATAGTAGTCGGAAGGCGCCAGATCTGGAGAATATGGTGGATGTTGCAGTACGTCCCATTCAAGCTGTAAAAGTTTTTGGCGAGTGACCAAACTTGTGTGAGGTCTCGCATTATCCTGGTGGAACACTACACCCTTCCTGTTGATTAATTCGGGCCTCTTCTCTTTAAGTGAATCAGTCAATTTGTCCAGTTGATGACAATAGACTTCTGAATTAATCGTTGTATTGTCCGGCAAAAGCTCAAAAAAACGATTCCTTCGACATCCCACCAAACGAAGAGCATCACCTTTTTTTGGTGAATGTTGGCTTTTGACACGCTTTGAGCCGGTTCAT